CACAGTCAGTGCTGCCTTACAGGTCACCTTCTTTTTCTGGACCCGATTCTGCCCCGCGAGCCATAGACGAGATTGCCATACTCTTTGAAAGACTGTAGCTTTGTACTATGTTTCTGCAACAAAGGCCACTTTGTTAGGAAGTTGGAATGTCGAGGAGGAGAGGGTGTTTCTCTACATTTAAGTCAAGGCTGAGGGGCTTTTCCCATGGGCTCAGGACCAGATCTCCGTTCATTATCCATTCAAGGTCAAGTCTGACACTCAGTGTGTTTCTGACCAGCCACGGTGGGCGACCAGGGGCAGGGCCAGTGGATGCTGGGATGCTCTGGCCAGTGGGGAGGTGGATCCGAGATCACCGGCTCTGCCTTCTGATAAGGGACCCTGCTGCCTGCCCTCCATGCCCTGAGGACCCCACCCCGCTTTTCCATGCTTGCCCCTGGTTTGTGCCCCTGTGGAGTAGGTGGGAGCAGATGGGGTCCTAAGAAGGCTTTAGTCCAATATTGAATTTGGAGCCGGCGGGGCCCCTGTCACCCAGACTGCAGGCGAGCCTCTGGTGGAGGGAGCACCCTTTAGCATGAAGGGAGGGCCCTAAGGGACCCCGGTTGGAAGGTGGGCTGGTCTGGTGAGGGTGCAAGGACCCTGAGGACGCTGAAGGGGACCCCAGAGTCTTGGGGAGAACCTGCTGACTCAGCCCCCTGGCCTGGCCCAGGCTCCACATCTGGGGGCATCCCCAGGCCTCTAGTAGAGCTGACTGGTAGTCAGCTGCACCCCTCCCCAGTGTCCTATGGTCAGGAGCACATGCTGGCCAGGCCCTCTTGCCCCCCAGGACTTCCATGCAGACCACCCTGGGCCCCTAGAGAGGCTGGCCTGTGGGGGTGAAGAGCACAGGGCCACCCAGGTAGGAGGGCCACCCCCACCCCCACCCCCACGTGGACAGTGCTCGCCCCACCTCAGCCGTTGGTCATTCGGAATGAGACCAGTCCAAAGGCAGGTGACCCTGAGCTGGTGAGGAGGCCTCCGATGCCACCAGGGATCTTAGCATTGGAGCCTGTAGCTTCCAGCCCATGGGCACCTTGGGGTCCACACAGAGGCGGGTGTGCCCGCCCACCCTGTGAGGAACCTCCCAACACACCCACACTCTGCTCCTGCCTTATTGGCCAGGGGGCAGAGCCCAGCTACAGTCACCCTGGTCCCCAGGGCTCCGGAGAACAGGCCAGAGACCACCACTCAGGGGTGGCTGGGCACAAGTGTTGGGGGTGGGTGGGTGGCGGGGAAGCAGGATCCTGTGTGGATGAGACCCCATGGCCATGTGCAAGGGGAGGAGGAGCTCCTGGGGGTGGGGGTGGCATCAGCAGTCCCAGTGTTTGTCCTGCAGTCAATGGATCTCAGCCCTGCCTCCCCCTCTCATAGGACAGTCCCTGGTGCTCCCTAGATGAAGCCTCCCCACTGCCAACCCCCCCTGCACACACCCCCAGCCTTGTCCCCAGAGGGCTCCCCCGATGCCACACTCAGGCTGGGTCAGGTCCCTCTGCACCCCTGACACTCGGTGGCTCCAGGTGACCCTGAAGGGACTCAAAGTGCGGCCTGGTTAAGTTCAGATGGATTAGCCAGCCTCTGACTCCAGTGCCTGGGAGGAGGAGCAGAGGTCATGGGGGACAGGTAGGAGCCACCCCTTGGAGAAGGACTGCCCCCCCCTGCCCCCCTTGAGGCTGGGCCCTGGAGGAGGAGCCTTGGAGGGTCCTGAGAGGGTCCTGGGTTGGCTGTGCTGGGGAAAGTAGATGGTGGGGGTGGGTAACCAGTCACCCAGGCCTGGGGCAGTGGGTGGCTGAGGTGTGCTGCCAGTGGGTTTTGCAAGTAGAGGTCCCCTAGGACTTATATGTGATGAAGATGAGGTGGGACGTGGGGGGTGGTGTTAGGGGTTGGGGGCAGGAGGCTGCTTTGAAGGTGTTGAGGAGAGGCTGTGGGATTCTGGGAGGAGCAGGCCCAGTGGGGAGTTTGGGGTGTGTCTCTGTGGGGAATGGGCAGCAATAGAGGTCTGGCCTGTAGGGGTTGAGGGGGGATCATCCTGGGGAGGAAGGGCATTTGGGGGAGCCAGAGGGAGTGGCATTTAAGAGCCCAGTAAGGGAGCCAAGAGGGTGAGGGGAGAGGGCAGGAGGGGCCCTCCAGGGAAGAGGGGACCAGTGTGGAGAGAGCCTAGGAAGCAGGAGGGAGGGAGTGGGGACTAGGGACAGTCAGTACAGACAGGCCAGGGTAGCTTTGTCCCTTAGGACCAGCAGGGAGGTGTGGGCTGATGATGCCAGGAGGAGCACCAAGGTGTGCAGAGGGAGGGGCTGCACCAGGGCAGGCAAGACATAGGTGGGTATGGTCAGGGGGAGGTCAAAGAGCAACGCAGCATTTAAGGCAGAGGTGCCGGGGCGCTGGACCTACTTGGTGTCCACTTGAGGGGGTTGGTTGTAGACTTGAGTCACTTGGGGTAAGAGTTGCACCCAGGCCTCAGCTGGGCAGGTGGGAAAGGAAACCCCCACTCCCTTTCAACAGGGCACAAGAGGCCTCCCAGAGAAAGACTACATTTCCCAGGCTCCTTTGCAAGTAGTGGTCACGTGATGAAGCTCTGGCCAGGGACCTGCAAGCAGGGTGTTACAGGGGCTTCTGGGAGAGCTTGACAGGGAGGTGTGTCCTCCCTTCCTTTTGCTGCCTGGGATGAGGACGGGCTGGCTGGAGCCTCAGCATCTACTTTGGTCCCTAAGGATGAGGCGTCTGTCCCCCCAGCCAAGCAAGATGCCACAACTGACCAGACCTCATGAGAAAATATGGTGTCCTTTGAACTTGGGTTAATTAACAAGAGGCTTTTCTCCTCCCAGCCGCCTCTGCTAAGCCTCACCCGTGGGCCAGACCCCAGGCAGACAGCCTGTGGGCTATAGGCTGGTGTGTGTTGTGTGTGTGTGGTGGGGTGTCTCACATGTGTCAGGACTCAGCCATAGCTTGAGGGACCCTGCTGGGGCACCTAGGGGTGTGAGGAGATCTGGGGGGGTGGGGGACACCGCTGCCCCCTCAGTGACTGGTGGCCTTCTCCACGTGGCTGGTTTTGTTTGTGGAAATTGTGCCTCAGTGCAAAGCCAGGGTCCTGGAGTGGATGCTGTCTGGGGGCTATGGAGGAACATTCTAGATCCGGAAGCTGAAATGGGCCAGCTGAAATGGGGGAATCTGGCCAGCAGCACGCTGCTTCCCAGCTGCCTCGCCTCCCTGCCCAGGACCCTGAGATCAGTGGGGGTGGTGTGTGTGTGTGTGTCTCCACCAAGCTTGGCAGCGGGCAGGGGTGGTAAGACCCTCTGAGAAGCATTCAGAGGCATCCCTATCCCTAAACCTCCTTCCAGCTGCATGGCAGGACCCAGGGACCCTGAGAGACTGGGGCGCAGAGCCAGGGCAGGGCTGCCCTCCCTACTCAGTCTCCCTGTCCCTCCCTAGTGCTAACCTGTGTGTGATGTCCCCAGCGCTGGCTGACCTGACACCCACAGACTAGAGTGGCCAGGAAAGGGCTTGGCCTGAAGCTGTCCTCTGTCCAGGAAGAGCCAGAGCCAGCTTAGGTTTCTGGTGGGGAGCAGGGAAGTACTGGCCATGGATCAGACCCAAGCCCCCACCCCCTCAGGCAGGCTCCGCCCCCGACTCTTGGAAGAGAGGGGTGGTCAGTTGCAGCTGTGAGCTGGGGCCTGTGAGGGTGGTGTGCAGGATTTAGGGGACCAGGGAGGGGAAGGGAAGGTCAGAACCGGAGACCTCTGGGGGCTGGCTGAGGAAGTGCTTGGTGCAGGGGGAGAATGGGCGGGCTGCGGGGCTGTGGCTTGAGCAGGACCACCACAGAGGGTGTCCTCTAGGGAATGTTTCTTGGGACCCTCAGAGCCCCTGGCTGCACTCAGCTTCATTGCCCTAGGGAAGCCCACGGAGGTCAACCCACGCCCTACCATCTCCAAGCCTCCCAGCTATGTCTCCAGAGCCCAGGCTGGCAAGCCAAAGAGGCTGCTCAGAGCCTGCCCCGACAACTGCCTGCCCTCTGGGGGCCCAGACTTGGGGCCACCCGCAGTCCAGGCCCTTGTCCACTCACTGATCTCGATGGAAGACAGCCTACAGGGAGGGATTAGGGAAAGGGAAGACTGATTTTGGGGAGACCCTCTGGCAGGGCCAGGGCTGGACAGGGTATCTGTAGGTGGGGTAGCCCTGGGGACATCTGGTCTGCAGAGATCAGGACAAGGTGGTCACAGCCACTCGCCCACTCCCATAGCCGCCTCTCCAGCCTCTCCCCGCTGGGTTCCCGCTGCCCCCTCCCCTGGGCCCTGCCCTGCCCTGCCCTTAGCAGGTGGGGACGCTGACCAGCCCAGGGACTAGGCGCTTCTGAGAACTCAGTTTGTTCTTAGGAAATTCGTGGCAAAGTGCAGGAGCCCTCTGGGTGATATGAGGGATGCTGGGGTCGCTGCATCCCACAACCCTTACCAGCCTTTTCACTATCCGGGTTTTCTTCTTTTTCCCTGCCAGGCTCCCAGGTCTACCTTAAGGGCAGCTGTGGGGGGGCCCCTGTCCCCGGGCGATGGTGCCACACTGAAGCCTGTTCCCCTTCCTCTAGCGGCAAGCCCTGTGGGAGCCCCGCGGCCAGGTCTGCGCTGCAACTCGCTGGGAAGGAACAGGGACCCAGGACAAGGGCCAGTGGCCTGAGGCAAGAGCAATGGAGTCCGAGTTGAGCCCGGGGTAGTCCCGGCTCCAGCCAAGGTTTTAACCCCGGGAAACGGCCAGGTCCCCTAATCACAAGCTGGAGCTCCGGCGGCCGACGAGGCAGCGGGAAGCGCGTGCTGGGCTCCTCTGGTCGGGTCCCGGCCTTGCCTCTGCCTCGCCCCCTACATCCCACCCTTCGCTTCCATCGAGAGATGGGACCCTTCCTCGGGGCTCCGGCCGCAGCCCATGCGGCAGTGGAGAGTCCGTCCAGGCCCCTCGCCGCGCTCAGGACGCCACAACCCCGGCGCAGAGGACGGGTCGGGGGCGCCTGAGTGCACCGCGCGGGGAGACCAGAGACGCCGGCCCCGACCGCCCGGGGTTTATTGATTCAGCCAAGTTCCGAAAAGTGCTCGCGGGCGGGCGGTGCCCGCCCCGCCGGTCGTTTTATAAATGTAAAACTTTCTGCAGCCACGGGCTATTTACAGAGTGTGTGGTGGGCACCTTGCAAAGGGGCCAGGCGGCTGGGGCTGTCGGGTCCCCGCGTCGGGGCCCGCCCGGCTCAGAGGTGCGGCGCGTAGAAGGCGGGCGCGCCGTACGTCTGAGAGCCCAGCACGAAGGGCGAGAGCACCGCCGGGCTGGACAGGAAGGGCAGCTGCGCGGCGCACACCAGGCCGCCGGGCCCGTGCGCAGGGTAGGCGGCTGGACCGTGCATGGCCAGTGGCGCGCCCATGGGCGGCGACGGGCTCAGCGGGCCCGGGGGACCGGGGCCTGCGCCCCCACCGCCGCCCGTCGGTGCGCTGGTGTCGGCGCCCGGGTTCTGCTTCTTCCACTTGGTGCGGCGATTTTGGAACCAGATCTTGACCTGTGTCTCGGTGAGGCTGAGCGACAGAGCCAGGTTGAGGCGCTCGCACACCGACAGGTAGCGCGTGGCCTTGAACTTGTTCTCCAGCGCCACGAGCTGCTCGTAGGTAAAGGCGGTGCGCGCGCGCCGAGGCTTCCCGGACTTGGAGTCCGAGCCCGTGCGCTTCCGTTTAGGCTTCGTCGCCGCTGC